AATTGTACATCGTGTAGGACTTCAGAGACTGGACCTGTACCAAACTATTCCGCACAACCTGTAAGTCAAAGTACATGTATTTTGCATTGTATTATTGTCAATGATTTAAACGCACTCATCCATGCTCCCCACTCAAATTCAACAAAGGTTTATGCCTGTGGTAAAGTGCCATTTATGATCAGACGGTGACAACGCCGGATAGAGCATAAAAGGTCAAATTTCAGCTTTTGAGACAATCATATCTACCTTTGGCTTTGAATCAGCAGACCTTTCAGTGGCTGTATGTCTTCAACGGTTTTAAGCAACCTTCTGCAGTATCTCTTACATCATCTCATTGAAAATCTGGACCATTCAGAACAGTTAAGATTTCTTACCGCGTCTGGATAAGATGTCCATGTCTCCGCTTCTGCACTGTGTTGGATCTCCAGGTGCTGAGTCATCACAGACTGCGCCACTTTGATGATGCACTCTCGGGAAGAGCACTCGGGTGGACCAAGAACAGGAGTGGACGGCATCGCTGCTCAAATCAATGCAGTCACCAGTGTGGTGAAGAAAAAATCAGAACAAAAGTCTTGAGCAACTGTCACATGCAAAGGGCACACAAGATTGAGGGTTTTTGATGTTTTCTTACATTCAAAATAAAATAGTAGGACAATCGAAGGTAGTCATCACTTAGTGGAAAAGAGGATAGAGATTATCACCCATCATAAATAAGGACACATTTCACTGCAAAGCTGGTGTCAAGTTCCAGTCAATATATCATTTGATGTCATACCTTAAAAACACCTCAAAACTGACATTACAAATGAAACATAACACACCCTGCATGCAGAAGTTCCCACTGGAACACTTATAGTAAGACTGATATGCTGCTGTCTTACCAATGTCATTGAGCGTGTAGTTGGTGGTGATGGAAATTTCAGAGCCCAGTGGATTTTGGACTTCAACCCACACAGAGATCAGCTGGACGGACGTGGACACATTGAAACTAGCTGACGGCAAAGCAGTTCCCTTACTGGAGACTTTGTACAAAACCGGCCCATTTGTATGGTTTCCAGACACAGTTCTCACCCTGTCATTTGACAGTCGATACAAGCCATATGAGATTATTGATGAGAAAAACATTGTGATAAATAAAATAGGATGTTTCTGTTTCTCTTTCAAACTCACCACAGCACTGAAGTGTTCCTAAGATAAGTGTCTCGTCCTCTGTTCCACGTGCAGAACACAACTTTCCTTTCTTTGTATATGCATGAAATGTTTTTAGGGCGGTCTGGTGTGTCTGAAATACGAAGAAGAAGCTTTGAGCAGAGAACATAAACCCAACCATCAGGCTAGACAAGGCTTTATAAAACATTTGAAACTGCAGCAATACATAGCTTGTGCACGAGCTGTCATTCCAACACATTACTTTAAGGAATATCCAATTAGGAAGCAATATAAGTAGTTCATTACTTAAAACTTTATTTTGGTTCTCAAAAAAATATTGCAAAATATTGCATAAACAAATTGAATCATTTTCATTGCTGCATGCGTCATTACAGAACAAGTATTTGCATTGATACTATTGTGTGCAGCTTCCATGTTAGAGAACTGGCATTCTACATGTATTAGAAACAAGTTGGTTTTTACTCCTCATTTAGTCACAGTTCTGTAGCCAAAATAAGCAACTTATTGCAGTTTTCTTTGACACTTAGCTGCAGTCACAACACACGAACAGTGTGTACCCCCTAAGTATAGAAGAGAAAGCAGAACCAGCTGACAGCTATTTTAGTTTGAATCAAGCCTTAAGACATGATGCATCATGCACTGTAAAACATCCTGCAGGATTTTGTTTGTGGATATTCACATGAGTTTTTAATGAGAAAATAAATTTGGTGACTGAAAACTATTTGAGCTCATGCTGAACTTGTGTGTCATATACTCTCCCTATAGATTTAAAGGCTTGGGCAGTATAAACCGTATGAAATCCACTAAATATGTGCATTAAGAAACTTTTCAGTGGGATAGATGTTTCAAAGATGGATGCTTTCCTGCTCTTTGATTTCATACTCACGTCCAGCTGAGATGTCCTGTCCGCAGGGGTCCAGAGCAGATGCGCAGGAACAGTGGCAGCTGAATGTTCGGTTCTTGGTTATGTTTACCACATTATGAGATATAGTTGTAGAATTCCATACTTTGTGACTCTGCCGTGTGGGCGGGTGTTCGCTGTACATGGATCCCTTGCAACTGCAGTTAAAGGTGCAAAACACCTCAAAACTGGAGCCTAGCTTCACCACAGGTCCAGCGCTGGACCAGATGGCACAGGACTTCTTACCTAAAAGTAGAAATGCTGACTTATAGAGACTGCATGTGCGTGTTATCAGACGAGGAAATGTTACTCTGCATGACTGCCTCACAGAAAAAGGCATCATCCTTATGCAGATGCACACTTTCCCAAACAAAATAGTAAATAGCAGCCTACAGAGATTACAAATGAAAACCAATGACAAACTAGAGACTGGAAACACTGTCAGGTAGAGTTTTTTTTTTTAGAAAGGCTTTTCATGTAGCTGCATCCACAATCTAACTTTCACAAATTGTGAAGCAATATGAAGAAATGTGTAGGCTATATTAAAATGTAACATACCTTCCATGCCAGCTGAAATATCAGAAATATGTGTCCACACAGTAGTCTGGGCTTACCTACGCAAAGCTGCACGGTCAGCACAGCAATGAAAATGGACCATGTTTGGGACATTGTCGCCATGAGTCATCAGTCTGCCTTCTTCTATATGTCTCTTACATTGGGACTGCCAGCTTACCTTAAAACAAAGAAAAGTAGGACACACACGCATGACGTCCATGATGTTTTACATGACAGAGCGATTTTAGAGGAAGTATTTATCGAGGGTGTTAATGACAATAAGGATCAAAAGATAATTTCTGGGAAAGTGCTTTAGGAATGTTCATCCTGGCTTCTACGATCGCTTTATATTAACAAGAAGTCACGCAGGCCTCCTACATCTAAGCCGAGACGTGTAACAGACGTAGCGTCGTAGCCCATGGGTTAAATGCAACTGCGTGCAGTTAACAATGACGGTAATTAAAACAGGAAAAACTCACCAAGACATCACATCATATTAACCTGGAGTGCCTCCTGAGCCCTTTGAAGCGCTATCCGTCATCGTAAGTCTTCACAAGCATCTTTGATTAGAGAAGTGTAAGCTAACCAGGTTGTGGTGAAATGACAGCGGAGACGCCGTGGTAACCCTAACCCTAACCCATGCGCGCTCATAGAACCGCTAAGTAGCACGTATAGACAGAACACCCCCATCTGGTGAGACGTGACAAACTTCAGTCACAGTTCATCAGTGAAGCCAGACACACAGACGCCCCACATAGCCTGTGCAGATGCAGGCTACTGATCATTAGGTGTTTGCCTTAACAAGTAAACAAAGTTCATACAGTTACAGAGTAGCCTATTATGTGATATTCTAATGTCTAGACATTTAGGAAAAAAGTTATGACTAAATGTAGCCTGTAATTTTCCTCCAATATTTTTATAGGCCTATAGCTCAATTCCAGCTGAGACATTTTCATTGCTCCCTGAAATGTTTTTTGTACTCTTTGGCATCACATCCAGAGACAAGGTGTAGCTTCTTGAAGTCTGTCTACCACATTGACAGATGATGATGTAAAGGTCTGGCCTCATACAGGCCAGGAATCCCATATAGAAGATGAGAGGACTGATTTCATGTAGGCTACATGATGAGGGAAGTCTAGGCTAGAGTTCAGATTACATATTACAGTGTATGACACCTGTAAGGAGGAGTTGCAACAGCACAACAAACTCTCAGATCAATTCTCATCATCACATTTTCCACACAGCCCTAAGCCTCTCACTCCCTCATCATATATCCCCGAGCAGTTGGGGACTTTCCCCTATAGTTGCACCACATTTCAACTTTAGATGTACAGGCACAACACTTGGCTCCAGATTAATAAAACAACTGCAGTGTTACACAAAAATATCAGAAAGAGAGATAAATGTGGACAATAAGCCTTTCGAAGATTTCTTTCAATTTCAGTCTGTCAGTGAAGGAGACACCCTCCTGATATTTTGATTATCAATGAGGAACTGAGACAACTCTCAGGAAGTCCTAATAAACAGCATTTAACTGCAGGTGTTGCATGTATTAGTAGAACTTTTAGGTTCAAGAGCAGAACACACACTGAGCCATTATCTGTAAAAGGGTAACCCACAACTGTATTTTGTGGGCATATGTTTTGGTACAATTTCACACCTGGCATCACAAAACAGGACGGCTAACACAGAATCACACAGAGGTCACACCCTAATATTAAAACAACAGAAACAGTTTCAGCAGCTATTTTGACTTGAAGTCTTAACTCCAGATTGTGTAGGCTTTTTACTTTAGGTAGTTCAACAAATTGAAACTATGGCTTTATTTGTGGATAATAAATTATGTATCAGTAATGAGCCAGCTCAAAGAAGCACATTTTGGTTGCCAAGCTGTGAAAAGTTCATTTGGCTGGAGTATATCCTCCTCTGGCTTGGTCATTTTTGTTTTTAGCTCTTGGATTAATCAAGAACATCCTTCCAATGGACAGTTTGACCACTTAGCATCTGGGAAAGGACTGCAGGGCAAACAGACCACAACCCATTTGTTAACATTTTTAAATAAAACTTATAGCTGCAGATTTGATTAATGATAATAGTGAAAAAAAACTTTAGTAAGGAATATCTAATATTTAGCACTGCATACTTGGGGGCTTATTATAAAGTATGAAACTCACTATCTTTTATTAATGATCCAAGATAGGTTAAAATTAAGGGCAACTGGACTTGCTTGAAGATACTTGAAGACATTTTCATCTTCTTCAGTTCAGAACCAAAGAAGCCTCTTAGATGAGAGGCAAAACGTCTTTAACCAAGTCCAGTTGCCCTTGATTTTAACCCACCTTGGATAACTATGACCTGGATGACAGAATCTTCACAGCTTTATCAACAATTTATTCCAGAAGTGTTTCCCATGGAGAAGTGTTTTTATGCATTATTATTGGAAACAATAAGGGTGGAGCTACAATCAACACAAAGTAAAACAGGAAACACAGGAAAACATAATCAAATACAGAGGATGAGCAAACACACACACAGTCAGAGGTACAAATGAGGAAGGATTCAACAAAATAAAACAGGAAACAAAACAAGAACAAACTTTATAGGCTAAGAACCATGCTAGCAGCTGTGTGATGTTGCTTGGAGCTAAATGCTACAGACAATATGCTAACATGCTCAGAATGACAATGTTCACATGTTGATGTTTAGGAATTATAATATTAACCATATTTACCATCTTAGTTTAATGTGTTAACATGCTAACATTTGCTATTTAAACACAGAGCATAGCTAAAGTTGAGGGACAGACTGACAGACACTGCTGTCCAGACAGAGACATACGAAAAGACTGAGGACATTCTGCTGTAGGTAGATATAAGCCAGCCAAAAGGATTTTCCACAATGACAACCCAAATCTTGTCCTCGTTATTTACTGCTGATCTTTAACGGATTAATAAATTATTTATTTAACATAGCGTTACATATGTTAAATAAATAATAAATAGTATTGCTACACACTTACCAGAATGGCATTAAATCAAACTCACTATACACATTTCATATTAATTTATTATCTTGGCCTTTAACAGAGCTGATTATAGTCACATATCATATCTGACTAAACAAGGTCATCACTAGAAGGGAGATAGTGCTTAAATAATGCTTTCTTGAAAATCAGTTAAGTAGCGCAGATTGTCCTGTTTGTGTCATTCCCACTGTCCCTGCTACCTCTGTGCTTCACAGGTTGTAGTGCTGCTAACAGCAGCTACCTGAGGGAAATAACCACCTGTAAGTGTTGTCTCAAGAGTATACAGAGATAAACATGTGTCTGCTGTGTCAGGAGTCATTGTTTCACCCGGTTGTAAATCCAGAGAGGCAGAGGCTGCTTCCACATTGTTCTCTGCCAACCTCTGTCCCATTGAGAAGCCACCATCCAAGACACTCTTTGTTTCAGGAGTTGTAGGCTGCAAAACACTGCCAACAGAGCAGAGAGTCAGCCCCAGAGGTGAATCAGAGAAATCTAACTCCACACTGGATAGTAAACCACTCAGTAATCCTCCAAATGCACTTGAACATCTTTCTTCTTCTCCACTTGTTGGTACATCCCTCTGCTCTTCGTCTGTCTGCTTCACCTCCTCTCCTTGTGAAGCCACCACAGCAATCTGGGGTTTATAGCTGACATGTTCCAGCCGGCTGTCAACAAGGGTTGTCCCAGTATCTGACACTGACAATGGTGCATCCCATGTGGGTAGTTCAGATCCAACCTGTGAAATTTCGACGTGGATGTTGGGATACATCATCTCGTCGTCCCTCTCGTCCTGGGAGAGAAAACTGATGGGGGACAGCGGAGGGTCACTGCAGGAGGACGGGAATGACGGTTCACTTCCATACTGCTGAAACACAAACAAGAGCAAAGCCACAGTTAGATTTGAAGTGAATATGAAGCAAATATACAGTGTCCTCTGGTGTTTACTTGCAGCCACTCACAAATTAGCACATTGTCAGAGTGAAAGCAAAAAGTCAAAACTGGCACACTTCCTACTGCAGCCCAGACTGTTCAACATCTTCACACTAAAGTGTTTGTACAGCATTTTTCATTGTATTGTAGGCTATTCACTTGTATTAAAATAACAGTAAAATGATTTCCCTCTTTAAACAAATATGTCTGATTGTATATAACTATGCTGGTATTGTTGATGTTGGTGCAGTTGCTAGCTGTTGCATGGGAAAGCATTAATGTCAACAGAATTGGCTTTGTTAACCTTCTCTGTTTACCTCCAGTAGTCTGATGGCAAGACTGTTTCCTGGTTTTGGTAAGTTTTCATCAAACCAGGCAGGTCCCCAGGATATACATTTCTGTTTGATCCTGAGACAGAAAGATAATAAGATTTAAAAAGAGCCAGAGCAGCTTTTTTACAGTATTGATAATGATGGTTTATCTGATGCAGTAGTGATACAACATTTACAGAATTTGGAAAAATGAAATATTCAAATCAAACAAAAAAAACCCCAGTGTAATTCTACTTCTGTGTCTGACTAATGATGGCGATGCCACATTGCACGCCATGAAGCACACAGTCAGTATCTCCACAGCTAAAACCACTTATCAGATAGGGCTGCTTTGACCACACATTCTATATTTTTTGTGACAGGGTTTGGGTTTCTGTTCATGTTCATTGTGTGGCTGGTTGTTCATATGCTCATGTTGTGGTGGGACCTTTCATAAAATCTGCCACAGTGGCATCCATCCTGGTTACAGGTAAAACAAAACCTATACACATTAACATCAGTTCCAGGAGACAGAGGGGAAAAAAGTGTTCTCAGGATACTTTCACTATTATTAGACGATGTCTGGCGTCTGTTAGTTTCCACCAAGCACTAATAATGTTTACTAATACCTTTCCCTCACACAACTCCAGCACATTAGGTTGGCTATGATCGCTATGAAGAACGTGATGAAGACAATCACAATCACCAGGCCAACTAGAGGAGACAAGAAAGACATCAGTTTAGTAGAGTAGCTGTCAAAGAGTTAAAAAAACAACGTTCTCTTTAATCTTCCCATTTTAAGCTTTCTTGCTCTGAAATTACAGGCAAATGCTTTCACAGAACAGGCTTACCTACCAGACTGACCTACAGGGGTCGCAGGCCGAGAGGAGATCCAGCTCCCCCGCGGTCCTTCTCCTACTGAAGTGGATGCGGTCAGCTGCAGAGCCAGAGCACCTTCAGGACAGTCCAGCCACTTCTTTCTGGGGCCAGAGCCAGCCACCGTCACTTGAGAGAAGCAAATGGCAGTCGCATTATTTTAGTTATTTAAGCTTTAACATATGCGATTGGGTAAGATTAGCTGACTTGATCAAATTGCTACAATCAGGCAGAGTTCAGTAATGATGATACCATGTATAATTTCAACCCTATCGTTCAGTATGAATATTTGTGATCGAAAGCAAATTAAACAACAGACTCAATCTCAGTTTCTGAATTGAGCGCATGCTGAGATTGTTTTGCAAGTTAAAGTTTCCAAGGTCAACTCTCAATCATGGATGAGAAGTTCTTAAAGTCCCCAGAATTTTTTTAAAATGTGACCGTCTATGACTACTGGACAAAATCCCAATTCTCAAGATTGTGTGATATGATATGACAAAAACTACAGAACAGCGTCTAAATGGACTCAGTTCCTTTCTGATGAGCAGCTGGCAGCTTGCATGGCCTTGGCCTTCAGTGCGTGTATGTGAATGGGTGAATGTGACACGTAGTGTTAAGCGCTTTGAGTGGTTGGAAGACTAGAAAGACACTATCTAAGTATGGTCCATTTACCTTTTTTTTTTATCAGATATGAATGCTGAAAAATTCCAGTGCAGTTTTGTGAGCTCTACTTTTTTAAACTTTTTGGTTGCAAAAGTATTTCAGTTTGCACGAGAGCCCCAGAGTATGCAGAAAAAGGCCATTTGTGTTTATGTCAGGGTGGTGCAGCCGTAATTGCTCTGTCCACACAGGATATAAGTGCAAAATAAGAAGAGAATGAACACATTCCAGTTATTCTAAGTAAAACTTCAGATGAAATGACCTGAATAAAGCGTCCGGTATGCACACAGCATGTCGTTTAAGAAAGAAGGAAAAGAAAGCTCTCTGGTGCTTTTACACTGAAGTTCCAGAAATAGTCTGTAAAGCAGCCTCGTTAGTAACAGGCCTACGGTTGCATGTGTGCATGTAGCCACAAGACTTCCTGTTTGTGGTCAAAGCAGAGTTCTAGAAAACTTGTATGATTCACCGAAGACACTGTGAAAATGATGACAACCAGGGTTTGAAAAACCAATTTGCTCACTACTGAACATCTGCATTACAGTTATATATCGAGAACTTTGCCAAATACATTTTCAAGAAGACAATCAGGACAGGTTAGACACAAAATGATACATCTCCAAGCCAGACTTTCTAAAATTTATGTATGGTGACGGATAAAAAAAAATCAATGTTGTAACATATGTTATGCTACCCCCTCCTTTCGGTAAACAATTTCAATAAACAATTTATTACAAAAAAGAAGAAACAATCAACAGTTTTTAAGATTTTACGGATTGATTTTCAATACATTACTGGAAGTGAGAGGAGAAAAACCCTGCTGATGCACTCAAGATTTGTGGGAGGGGAGTATCAGTGGAATGCTGCTGGTTGCACACTTTCCATTATGTGACAGTGGCTTGTGCTGAAACACAATATATATACTACTGCATATATCATTTCCCACACATGTTTATACTCATAGGCATGCTAGAAAGCTTTAGCCTGGACCAAAGTAAAGTACACACACACACGCACACACACACACACACACACACACACACACACACACACAACATATAGTGAAATGAGCACCATTAAGAGAAGTCCTCTCGATACAAGAACAGGAAACGACTCACAGCAAAGATTCCTCCGAACCTTCAGATCAAGGTATACTTTTATTTAACACAGAGCAAGTTCCCCCTACCTACAAAAACCTCTTTTCTCCCGGCGTGTCAAACCAAGCGAGTAGTTATTATTATGTCCACAGGTAGGGCGGCAACTAACAACTGATTGATTGATTGTTTAAAATTCTGTTCACAATGTCCAAAACCTCATGGGGACACCTTCAGATTGCTTGTTTTTTTCTACTTACAGTCTGAAACCCAAACTGATTCAGCTGATTTCTATCACATAAGACAAAGAAAAGCAGCTAGTCCTTGTGATTTAAAAAAATGCACATGTGAATGTTTGTCGTTTTGCTAGAAAAAGTTTATTCAATGATAAATTAATTATGAAAATAGCTCCACTTTATTTCCTGCTGTTTGAGCTATATTAAGACAAACACACAAAAGGACACGGTGCCACTGCTCACCGCTGACTTCTGTGTTGTTGGAGTCCAGAATGTGGAGATAGATGGTGTAGTGTGTGATGAAGCCTCTCTGCTGGTCTACAGGCAGCTCGTCCCACTGGATCCAGATCCGCCTGGCTTTGTGGACCAGTATTGACATTTTGGGACTGGATCCTGGCTCTGAAACACATAGTAAGACAAGATGATTACTATTGAGCATATATATGAGAAATGTACAAAATCTATCACATGATGAACTCAGATGTTGAAACATTTTCATCTTTAAGCTTAAAATTGTAGGAATAAACTGTTTTTGGGGACATGTGGCATCTATGAAACTTACTCTGTTCTTTGGAGTAGACCAGACCGGAAGATGGAGCACTAACACCTCTGGTGGTCACAGCGTACAGAGAGATACTGTACCTCACACCTGCAGTCAGACCTAAAACAATACAGGAAAAACTAAACTACTCTCACCATGAATGCCACTATATTTCACAAACATTCAAATTTGCTAAAGAACTTCGTCTTCAGTTGGATTTAGAGTATCATATTATTTACAGTTTTATGAAAAGCCCAAACTAGTGTAATTCATAAACTGGCCACAAGATGCCACTGTTCCCAGTTAAAGCCCTTGTGTTTGTTTATAAAGTTTATAAAGTGTTCCAGTGCCTGCAAACAGGGTCTGTTTCGTCTCTCTGTACCTGTGATGGATGTGTTGTTTTGATCTTTGGCCAGTTTTTGCCACAGTACAGATACAGATACAGGTGCAGGTACATGTGTCCATTCTAACACATAATGCAGCAGTTTTCCTCCAGATGCTGACCAATGTTTGTTCCCTGGCGACGTCCAGGAGACAAACACAGCACTGCCGTTTCCTGCAGGAGTCAACTTTCTCAAAACAGGTCGAAAATCACCTAAACAGTTAGACACGAAGAAAGGAGAACATTTAAGTGGGCGTTTTCCTTATTTTCTCCTTTACAATTTTTGCTGTGTTTTGTCTTCTGTGTGTAATATTTGTATACCTGAGTGTCTGAGTGGCACATCCGCTGGTGGAGATGTCCCATACAAGGTGACAGCACTGATGCTTAGCGCCTGGACATCAGCTGGTACCTGAACTGAACATTGGTTCAAAGCAGCATCACAGGGCCGCTCCTCTTTCTGGTCATTACCCAGAAAGATCCTGTACCGTTGCACCTCACCGTAATCTTCTGGGGATAGAGGCTGGGGAAGAAGTCCACTCATCACTTGAGGTTTATTTTCCCAGTAAGTACATTTTAAATATAAATATTTTACAACAAAAACCAGAGTGTGAAAACAACAACTTGTGGTTTCACAGTGGTTATGTTACTACTTCTTGGTCCGCACCGCCCAGAGAAAGTTATTCTTTACCATGCAGACATCTAAGCAGTAGCAATCTTTTCATCTAACTCTCAGCTAAGAAAGTGAATGAATGTATCAGAATAACCATTTCTGCTATTTGGTGTACCTTTGTATTACAAAATGGGCATTATCAATATAATATCCAAAGATAATGAATAGCTTTGACACATTACCTTCCACAAAACTGTCACCATCCGCTCCCCATTTGTCTTCTGGCTGCCTAATATGCTCCACACATGCAACTGCTGAGATGGACCTAAAGATAAGTTCAACCACAAGTTGTGGGTTTTGTTTGAGTGATTACAAACTCTCACATCATCACATTCAGATTGCCTTTGTTACATGATGAGTAAGAATTGTGAGCTTGCCTTTTCCAGGGCTTTTCCCCCTCACAGATGGACTCCATTCACTGCAGAACGACCTTCTGCTGGAGGGTGTCATGGGTCTCTTGGCATATGTCAGTCTTGATGTTGACTTACATGTTCTCATCTGGAACTCATATTCAGTCAGAGGCCTCAGGCCGACCATTTGTATCAGACCCTCGCTGAGCTCTGTACCCTCTACCGCTCTCTAAAAAACATTAAGAGATTAGGTCACCTACACAAGGATGATTCTGCAAAATGAAAACAAAGCTCATGGGTGTCATAACATTTAACAACACATAACTTTACCCAGAAGCCATTTTCTGTGCGGAGCCTGACATAGGATCTGAGATGATCTGAGGATTCAGTGCTTTTCCAATGCAACATGGCTCCTGTGGAGTCATTCCCAAACTCTATATGCATAAGACGAGGGGTCTCTGGTATCACTGCAATACAAAAGAACACAGAAGTAGCGTCCCCAGTGTGATGAGCTCCCAGCACACCAAAATGACTCCAAACAACCAACAAAACAGTAGCTCACAATTCAATAATGACTCAAAATGTCCAGGCTGTTGCAACAAATGTTACATAAGTGGGGAAAGAAGTTGGCTAATTGTTCACTTCAAAGAGATATTACAAAAAAAGAGAACCAGTTCATATTAGTCACACTACGATGATAATGACACAGGATGACTAATTTCTCAAGAAAACCCTTTTCATTTACATTGGTATAAATCTTTTAAAAAGTGATGATTTAGATGTACACTAAAGATAAGTGTAACAGAAATGAGAGCTTACCTATATCCTTTACACAGAGGATGAATGGATCAGACTGTGATGCTCCAAAGTGGTTGTAAGCAGTGATAATCAACTGGTATTTAGTGTTTTCATCTATCTTCGCTCGTGGTATGGTGATTTTCTCAGACGCCTGTTTCTGATGTGAAAGTATCTGGGTCCCATTTTCACTGATAATAGAACACGTGTTAAATATAAAGCATATATACATTGACCTGTGAGAAGAAGGCGACAGCTTAACATGACCTAAACCTAACACCTCACCTGTTGACTGTAACGTTGTAGGTAGTGGGGAGATATGTTTCCTGTCCTCTCTCCCATGAGCAGTTTGTAAAATCTGAGCTCCTTGTTGTTTCACAGATAATATTTTCAGGTTTATCTGGAGGGACTTGAAGGGCAGAAGACGAAAAACAAAATAGATGTTGTTAAATAACTGTTTTGTATGCCAACTGGGAAATGCAAAAACGTGCAATACAGCTCAATGACACAAATTATTAACTTTTCTGTTTTACAATTATGTTTGTACATCGTTCGGTAATTCCCTTTAGAAAATATTGCCTCGTTCACTGATACATCCGGAATTCATACGAATGTAGACATCAAAGCTAAGCGTACGTACGCCCGCCATGAAGGTCCTTTCCATCGACAATCTTCATCGTCAGCTTGCACACCACGGTAGATTTTGGTATCCGGACATTGACCAAATTGAATATCATCATGGTGCAGTTGACTCTCTTCCCAGGTGCCACAGGCTTATTATTTAGCACCAGGGATATGTCCCTGGAAGACAGTGACATAAGTGCATCTGAACAAAACATTTTTTACGTAAATAAAAAGACTGTTGTTAATTGTCGTGAGGTCGAAGTGCTTCAGATGATTAACGTCTCTCTGCTGACAGGCATTTTCCCCACAATACTGAAAACTGCTGTTGTAAAACCCCTCATAAAGCAAAACAACAATGACCCGTTAATACTCAACTACTGCAGATCAATCTAAAACATTTCCCTCCTAAGCAAAATGTTTGACAGCGTGGCTTACAACCAGCTGAGTGACTAAATGACAGCTGCATATTTGAGAAATTTGCATATTTGATCTGGCTTTCCCCCGTCATAGCACTGATGCTTGACGGGGGAAACTCCATCCTGAAATGATTTCAGAATGAAAATAGATGATAAGAAGCTCGACATATTGGTACTCCTAGACTAAGGCGCTGCATTTGACACTGTCAACCATGACATCCTTATCGACAGATCACAGAATTGTGTAGGCCTCTTAGGCTCGGTCCTCAACTGGTTCAGGACTTATTTATCTCTGCATCTATTTGTTTCATTTGTTTGTTTTATCACCTAATGACACCAGTCCTATTAAGTTGTTTTCAAGCATTGATCACATCAAACTATGGATATCACATTATTTACTACAGTTTAACAAAGATAAGACTAAGGTTTTAATCAGTGGTAGATGTAATACTTAGATCCTTTACTCAAGTAAAAGTACTAATACCACATTGTAGAAATACTCTGTTACAAGAAAAACTTCTGCATTTAAAATGTAATTTAAGTAAAAGTATTAAAAGTATTAAAAGTAAAGTAATCACTGCAGAAAAATGTCCCCTGACTATTATTACTTGTGCATTCATGTAAAATCAGTGGAGCTCATTTTGAACCATTCTGAATTGGACTGCAACTAATGATTAATTTCATTATTGATTCATCTGCTGATTACTAGATACAGTGGGGAGAACAAGTATTTGATACACTGCTGATTTTGCAGGTTCACTGTATATGTAGTGAAGTAAAAAGTACAACATTTCCCTTTGAGATGTATTGGAGTAAGAAAGTGGCATGAACAGAAAACACTCTAGTAAGCAAATGTACTTAGTTAGGGTCCACAATTGGTTTTGTTTATCAGAACTAAGGACTCAAGAGAGCTACTTAAATCCTTGACCCCAAAAAATAAACCCCTAGTAAAGAATATTGGTGTACTTCTGGACTGGATCACATATCAGTTATGTCACAAAGAATGCCTTTCATCACTTCAGAAATATAACTTAAGTGCAGCAATTCCTACTACTTATATTACAATTCAAATCACTAAATGGAGTAGCGCCTCAGTATCTATCAGACTTGTTCTATCATATGTCCCCAGTAGACCCCTTAGATTCTCTGGCACTGGCCTTATAGTAACCCTAATGGTAAGGACAACGAAAAAACGGAGTGGAGCTGAGGATGTGTCTAACTTTAAGTTCTTTTAAAAGAAATCTTTCTAGTTTAGCATTTTCCTAATTTATTTTTTATTGCTTTTATTGATCTTACTGTAATATTTGTCTTATTTCTCTTTATGTTTCTCTTTATGTTCTCCTCGTGTCTGTGTGGGTTCTCTCCGGGTGCTCCGGCTTCCTCCCACCATCCAAAGACATGCAGTCTAGGTTGATTGGTGACCCTAAATTGTCCTTAGGTGTGAGTGTGAGCGTGAGTGGTTGTTCGTCTATGTGTGGCCCTGTGATGGACTGGCGACCTGTCCAGGGTGTACCCCGCCTTGCGCCCAATGTCAGCTGGGATTGGCTCCAGCGACCCTGTACGCAGGATAAGCGGTTGACGATGGATGGATGGATTTAATTTCTCTTATAAGATAAGAAAAACTTTATTGTCTGTCATAAGTGACAGAAATTTGTCTTTGACAAGACAGGCTCAGGATGCAATACAGACTCTTTTATTACTGTATTCACTACTGTTGGTTACATGGCTATGCTGTATTTTTAACATAATGTCAAGCACCTTGTATTGTTCTTTTGCACGAAAGATGCTATACAAATAAAGTCTGATTGATTGAATCTGTTTTACACATAATCATAGGCACAGAATATAGTATGTCATATAATATCATATTACATCTTATATATCATTCCTACCCTAGTTCACATTTGTTGATTCGGCAGTACACTGTCAGGTTTGAGCCGATGAGGAATAGCGGAGATGGTTCTACTGTCACGTGGCCATGGCGATTGAGTTGTTGGCAGCCAGCAGGGAGCAAAGGCCAACCTGTTCAGAAAAGACACACACCCAGGTGTCATAGCAGTACTGTTACTATTCTTGTACTGTTAATATTTATTGTCAATTCCCATCGCTGGCTTTGCAATAAGGCATGCCAAGACCAGAAATGGCATGTATGATTCTTTGAATGATTGTCAAAAAATCACTTTTCACCTCACTGCATGCAGTTGGAGATGCAAACTTAAGGTTTAGAGCTCGTAACCACAAAAGCTACCAAACTGTGATACAGTTGTTCTCACTGAACCACTGACTAAACCGCACAAGATAGCTAGGATAGATAGATAGATAGATAACTCACCCTTAATGGAAAAATGTAGTATCATAATGAATCTCCAAATTGTTGAGTAGAGATTCATCTCTTTCTTAATCTCTTAGAACCCACTCAGCAGCTGTAAAGAAAAGTTATTGTCATTATAAATCACCATTTATAATTCCATCTTTGAAGTAATCTTCAACATTTACCTCAGCCATCTGTGTACAGGAGATGCTCTGGCTAACATGAGGAGGAGTTCTGCTGATCTTCTTCTCTTTACAAGTGCAAGTTTGGGGCTGATCATTTACAGAAGTACAGGCAGCTCCAGTCATAGGAGCTGTGTGACGCATGCACTGCGGCAGATAAGAGAAAAGACATTTTTGTCACGACATTATCTTGCGGATACAACTGAGATTAACATGCTTTGCGTCAAACCTGAGCATTTGATTTTATAAGCCGTTTTTCTTGTTTATCAAAGACTCCACAAACCACCAAGATACGTTAGTAGATATGTCCAGATAAAGCTCACCAGAATTTCATGCCGTCTGTGTGCCTTTAAGGTTTCCTTATAAAGATACAATCCAAAAAGTTTTCGCCATAGTCAGACAACTTGCTTTGTGAGATGCATCTGACTAAAGTGATGTTTGTTGCACAAATGACACATCTTAAAGAGGCAAGTGACCTAGTTTGGTGGTATTTTGGAAAACACAGAAACTTTGAACATTAGCTTCAGTACTTTGGTGCCCTACTTCAGTAGCCACAAAGGCTCAGTTGACTTCAATGTGCTTAACAATGCTCTCAGTAAAGTGCTGTTGTTAGCAGACAATCAACCCAAAATGTTACATACTGTGACATCAATTTACTCTGAAAAACATGCTGACCATAGCTTCACAGAAACCTCAATATGTTTGTACCTCCTGACACTTATGTTACAGTCGCTCTGTGCTGATGCAGTGGACAGCAAGCTTGATTCATGTTACATCAAAAACATACAATTATAACTCACTGTTGTCTAAAGTAAAAAAGTTTAAAGTAGTTAGGTTGGTAAAACAAACTTACAGTTTTCGTCTGAAAGAGGTGACTTCAAATGAATAAAACAATCAACCCATATCTTGCAAGCTGGTTGCTTATGCTTATAGTCCCTCAGAGACTGTGCTGGGAAAAATAAGCAGTCTTTCTCAAGCTACCCTAGTTTTGTGATTTCCTTTCGTAGTTTTTTTCATTTCAAACTTCAAAACCTTTAGGCTACAGGGAAAACCCAGAGGTTAGAGTAGGTGTGTGTAGGCCTACATGTCATGATCAAACAGACCTCAAGCTAATTTTCATAACTGACATGTCTGCATAAGGTCAAAGGTTTAATTTAAGGTACTTTATTGACACATACATGTTGCAAAATTCATTCTCAGCATTTAACCCATCCCTCAAGGAAGCAGTGGGCAGCCACTGTGCAATCTTTATCAGTGTCTGGTTAATGGCACTGATTGAAGAAACCTAACATGTTTTTGATAGCGGGGGAAACCAGAGTGCCTGGAGGAACCCCATGCTGACAACATGCAAACTCCACACATAAAGGACGGGGCAACCGGGGTTTGAACCCGCGACCTTGTTGCTGTGAGGCCACAGTGCTATCCACTAGTGTGCACATCTGCAAGCACAACACTATCCTGTATGTCTAGATATTTTTCACAAACTATTAGAATTGCAGTTGCCCTATGTCAGTCAAGCGCACCGTGTGTGTAACAACAGAAACTTTTCTACCTTTTGCTCGACTTGTACATTCACTTTTTTAAAGTGAGCCGTTATTTGCATCCTTGAAACGGCCCAAAGGGAGTTTAAGCTTAGGTTTACAGCTGGTTTAAAGAGTAACCTAAGTGTATTCCACTGTCTCCACAGTTTATACCCCATTGACTTAGATGTGTGTTATGGGTCTTTCTTACATACCACTGCAATTTTCATGGCTGTTGTATGTTTAGTTGCAGCACACAGTTCACGTTGATTATGACTGGTTCGAGCATTCTCCGCAAATTCAGTTCATTTTATTACTATTCCATAATCCTGCCGACAGACGGCCCTGAAAACATAGCCACCTTGTGAAAGTAGGACCTAAAGTGACATGACTGAGTTTACGCAAACTAAATTCCTAATAACAGCAGGTATCATACATGCTCAAGACACACTGAGACTGATTGAATGGTATTCTCTCATTTTAGTGCTTTTCTCACCTAGCAAACCTCAGACTGAACATGAACACATGAATGAGAAGCATGAGAAGCATGAACTAAATCTCTGTATCATTTAGTTACACACACATCAGGTTTTAGTAAATTCGACAACTCCAATGTGCAGTGACAAGAAATGTGGGAATATTGTTTCCAGTTATTTAAAAACAAAACTGGAAAGCATATTTATTGCATATTGAATAGATTAATACAATAAAAAGGTTTATTGAAAAGATCTATTGATTGAGAAGATAAAAAATATTTTCAATTGTTGAAATGATGTTTTAGTAACAATATAGTAAAAGAACAAAATAGCAGATATTCTTGATGCTTCACAAGACAAATGTAGTGGAACGCTGCGGTTCAGTTGGTGGTTTATCGTGGTACGGCACAGACGCGGTAAGGTTTGGGACAGCGAGTGGCTCCCAACTTGAACTCCAGACTGGGCTGCTCTCCAGCGCATGCCGAGAAAGAAAACCTCTGAAGGAGGGAGGTAAAGAAGAGGAATAACTCCATCCTGGCCAGCTGCTCCCCAAGACACACACGCTTACCTGAGAACACAAAGAGCAACCGATGAGTTATATTCACACAATTTTTAAGAGATTCACTTTGATCATATAATATCGCTGCAGCTCAGAGTGTGAAACAACCACAGAATACAGTACGACATGGAGCCTGATCCCCTCCCTACTATGGTAATCAGTTAGACAGGAAAACAACTGGTTTAAACTACAAATTACTGAGTTTCAGAGGCTTGTAACTACTGACTAACCTGCTGAAAAAGGAAGGAAGGCCTCTCTCTTCCTAAATTTGCCGTCCTGGTCCAGAAAATGTTGAGGGTTGAAGGTGTGTGGAGTTTCCCACATCGACTCATCATGTAGAACTGAGTTCAGCGTGGTCAAGATAGCGGTGCCCTGAGGAAATGCAATTAATGAAAACTGTAATTCAAACTGTTTTTTTGTACTTCTGGGATAAAATAAGCAAATTACAAGGTTAATTCTCAACCTTGGAAACAGCAGCTAAGGAACGAATCATAATAACTGAAAATATTATATAAAAATAATACAACAATCATATCACTGAATCTCAAATATAAAAATGCACCAAAAAAATAAATAAAAAGGAAATCATTGCACATCAACTGGGCTGATTAAGATCATGTGAAATGACCAAAAGCTCAAGAACAGCTACTAAATGGTTGTTGATTGTTTTGTGAAATTGTCAGGTGTAAAATGTCTGCACCAAAGTGCAACAGTGGTTTTAACCTACATGTTAATATAAAATAATCTATTGTCCATTTTTTTCTGATTATTTTCAAACAAACTTCTAACCTTACAGACAGTTATTGGTTATTCAGTTTATATCAGTGTAGTATAAAATTTGCTTGCAGATTTGGTTTTTAGAGAATATAAAAGTTGGTCTTTATATTAAAGATATCTTCACGTAGCTGAAACGACTGGGTTGAAAACCATTGTTGATTTTTGACCATGATTGTTGAGTTGGCAGCAAAGAAGCACTGCATTCAAAAGCTATGCTGCCAGAAAATCCAAACAATAAGTAAAATGCTCACAGAAAGCAATTCTTTCTCACATGTGCATCATGTACCTTTGGGATTGTGTACTTGTCAAGCACGGTGTCCTTGTTTGCCATGCGGACCAAATTGAGGGGGGCGATGTTGCCCATTCTCTGGATTTCATGGATGACTGCATCAGTATAGGGCATGTTTTCTCTGTCAGTCACAGAGGGCAGTCTGGATGAACCAACGACAGATTCTATCTCAGCCTGGACTCTCTCTGCACACAGTGAGAACAGGAAACAATATGAGTCTGTGTACTATGTAGATCACTGAGGGGAAAATGCAATACATCCCACACACTCTCCCAACACAGGACTGACCTGTGAGGGACCCCTGATCCTTTAAGGTCATAGCAAGATGCTTATAAAACAAGCGGCATGAGGCAGCACAGATATTACTCACACACACACACACACACACACACACACACACACACACACACACACACACACACACACACACACACACACCTTGTATGTCAGGGTAGTACATCATGAATAGCAGTCCCCAGTGTAAAGTTGTGGTAGTAGTTTCAGTTCCAGCAGCAAACAGGTCCAGAGTGCAAACAGCCAGATTTTTTAAATCAAAACCAGAATCTGTGTCCTCCTTCTATCAATCAAACACAAAATGCAGTTTCTAGTATCAGCTGACATATTTCATTAGAGAGCAAACAAACAACAACAAAGAAACAAACACAATGCAAACACTCGCCTCTCCCATCTCTGTGAGGAAGCAGTCGATGTAGTCTCTCGGTGAGGACGGGTCAAGGCTTTCTCTGTGTTCTTTAATCTTGATCTCTACAAAGTCATCTAAGTTTTGTGTCAGAGTGAATATCCTCTGGTGAGGTCCGGGCACCCACTTCATCAGCCAGGGATATGTGTTATAAACCTACAGAGCATGAAGACAGTTAACAGACCATTAGAGAATCTTGATGTAGTTCACAAGGTGGAGGCCGCGGCAAATGTGGCAAAACTAATTTGTTTGCTGGATTGGTCAAAAAAACAGATGTAAATCACAATAAATCAATATTGCAATATAAAATTTCGTATACTGTGATGGAGGTTTAGAGCCCGACCAATATGGGATTTTGATATTTGAGAATTTTAAAATCTAATACTCCAATAAATGAGACAATATTCGTTTTATTCCCTTCATTTCAGAAACACATAACATCAGATTATCCCTAAAATTGATTTAGTTATGAGACCTCACCAAGATAACATGACATAATGCAGTTTAAAAATAAATAAATAGTACTTTAAACAATAGTACAGCTGATTATGTCAGCTGATTGCTGTGTTTTGTGGTGGATTTGTGGCTTTTCAAACACCTGTGCAACACAGGGGAGTTGCAGAGTGACCTCTGGTGGAAAAACTATGCATTGAAAACACTCATAACATGATTGAAGGATCTGTGATCTTTTAAATAATGATTTATCAACAGGATTTATTTCATAAGCCTATGTATTTATGTTATTTATTTAATATCGACAGAAATGGCATCCATATTCCATATTTGCATGAGTACTTTTTACTTAAATTGATCCTTGGTACATTTTGCTTATAAAACTTTTGTACTTCAGTGAGAGCAGCTACTGTCATGCCCAGCTTCTGCAGTTAGGTTATGTGTTCAGTTTTATGTCTGCAACCACTTCCTGAAATTTATCATCTTGTCTCTTTCCAGGTCTTTGTCTACCCTCCTGCCCTACGTGATTACCTGTCCCCGCTCTAATGTGCTCCACCTGTGCCTCGATGTCTCCCCTGTTATGTGTGCATAGTTTGTACCTGTGCTAACTTGTCTTGATCCCTTGAGTCAGCCAAATGTGTTCCAATGTGTGTGCACTCTAGTGTGTTTTGACCTCAGTTTTTTGTGTGTAGCCTTGATAACAACACAACACTGTCCCACATGTTTCTGACATATAGGCTCTGCCATACTGACTTCACCAGCACGGGAATGGCGTCACAGACACCAGATTTAAAAACTCCTGTATACTGCGAATACAGAGAGATTTACCTGGTAGCATCAGTCTTAATAAGCATTGTGTGAAATCGTTTGGGCTTGAATGTAACGGACGTTTATTTATATGTAAAAGTCCCGCACTTAAGATTTAAATAGAGGTTTAATTCAGGACTTTTACTTGTAATAGAGTATTTTTAAATAGTTGTATTCATACTTTTACTTTACTATCTGAGTACTGCTGCACATTTTTATCTAATTTAATGCATTTTATGTTAGTTTCATTCATTGTGTTGTTCTTGAAACCTTTTACAAAATAGTTAATAAAACCCATCACTGACTTTTGTGGTCTGCATGGATAAATTCTGATTAAGAAAAAGATTCATATGCGCTGCAGGAGGCTCACCTGTGTCCAAAACTTCCCTGTAAGTACATTATCATTCAACTTCTGAAGAATACCCTGGTACTGCTTGTCAGTGTATTCAAAGCGATCACCAAACACCAGGCAGCAGATGATGTTGGACACAGCACTGGTAATCAGTGATTGGGCATCAAAAGGCTTGCCTGTAAAAGAAAGAGGAAATGTAGAGAAAACACACAGAAACTTTGAAAAAAAATATAAGAACGCAAAGTCAAAACATGAACTGTGTGATGAGCCACAGGCAGAAGAAGAGTACTGTGACATATTGATTATAATTATGGATGATTAACAGGCTGGTTTATCAGATACATTTACAGTGTCAGCCACTGCCAAACTGAAACAAACTAACGTCTAAAGTGCATGGTTCAGTGCTCCACAGTGTTGCTGCATGCCTCTGTGTGGAGCAAAGTTGGAGCGAAGTTGAAGGGAAAGGGAACATGTACTTAACATAAAAAAAGACTGTGTCATGGTGAAAAAGCATACTGCCCTGTAACTAGTTATGGATTAGTTGATTAGTTGTTGCTTGTTGAAAAATAAGATTTTTTGTTGCCTTGCTGAAGGGCAAAAGCTTCAGTGAGATATTGGCACTCCTGCTGGATGGATGGCTCCAGGCTCTTCTTGCCCACACCAAAGTTTCTGAGTGTCTGAAGAGCGAATCTCCTCTGCTGCTTCCATGGATTGCCATTTGATATCACCAGACCTTTTGGAAACACAAACAGCATTACATCGAAGGTAACTGGAAATGAGTAAAACTAACAACTAGCTAACCTAATATGGTGTCAGTCTGATGCTACTACCTAAATCCTAACTAGCAACTTTTAAATAAAATACAACACAGACCTCTGTTCCCATTTAATGCTTCTGCCATTGGTATGATGGGGCGATCTATGTAGTCCTCTCCTTTGTGGACCAGGGCCTCTCTTACAAGCTTGTAGCCATTAATCACCACAATCCGTCCACCGAACAGCCGAAGGCTGAAAACGTTCCATTTTCTCTGCAAACTGAACACAGAGATCAGACAGGTGTTCAGAGTTGACCTAGTTTCTGAGAACGTCAAAACAAAATCAGTCTAGCTTCAGAGGGTGACAGCACAAACATGCACCTGGCTGATGTGGGTGGTGTTTCATGTTTATCCTGCTTCCTTTTACATTATTGACATAAAT